CAATATTGATAGATAACATTTCTGCCTAATCACATGTAAATTAGAATATGATCTGGGAATGGCATCCTGTGCCCACTGAAATGGCTCTCTGCGAGGAGCTCCTGACGTTGATCCGGTTGCCGAATCTGCTTGTTATCTTTAGAGAATTGTAGTGCTGAGAGTGTTACAGGGTCCTGTGCTTCGTCTACAATGTTATTATTTAGTGAAAGATCAGAACTTTCAAATATTGTCTGAAGAGAGGGAAGAAAACCACATGCTTCTACATAGCCATAAAAAAAATAAGGAGATTCACAGAATTACCGTTAATTTTCCCATGTCAGGAGCATTCATTTAAGAAACGATCAACAAAGGCTCAAAGAAGAAGATGCTGCAGTGAAAATGAAAACAAATGTTATTAAAAGCCCAGAAATAGAAACCAATCTTAGCAATAGTAGGTGGGCCTTTGTGGTCTTTCTCCCATGTTCAGGTGGTATCAATAATGATTTGGGTAAGACTGTTACATATTTGTGATTGATGGTTCTGTCTTGTAACATGATCAATTCTTTTTAATCCCACCCCTTAATGCAATAATATTGAACTATCTTATGAAAGAGACAGGAGTAAATTAGAATCAAATAAAAGAAATGTTATTTTTCACGGCCAGTTGGCACTGTTAGAGTTCACAGTTACAGAAGGTCACTGAGTTTAATCCTGCTCTTTTTTCCTCATCTTTATTTTTTTTTTTATTTTTAGGATAACTTTGTGACTGTTAACAAGATTTATAACTATGCAAGCTAAGATGAAAAGGTTAATTGAATATCAAACTCCAGGACAGGAGGGTGATGGCTTAGTAGAGTCAGGAAGGACCCTACTACCTTTCCCACTGTGCACAGCAGAGAACAGCGGGACAGGTGCAGACAGGGTTTTTTCGCTCTGAAGTAATAACTTATGGGCCTTCTTGATAAAGGTGTTGGAGCAATGGACCAGTGGACGAACCTAGTGTGTAATCCGATTTCCTCTCATCTAAACTTTATGTAAGTTTAAGCAATACGGTTGAATATAAAACATAAAAATCTAATGTGAAAAAGACACGTTTGGTGCTCCTGTGTGGGAATGGTAAATACTTGCTATGTAATTTTGGACTGTTGTTATAAGGCTTAGCTCTTCAATTTACCTCCCAACACTGAAGGTTGTGTTTTATCACTATATTACTTTCTTCAAATACCCGAAGGATCTCCTGGGACTTAGAATTAAACAAACCAAAAGTAGACCTCTGCATGGTCAGATCTCTTTTTATGACTAACCAGGTGCGTAAAGGGACATAACATTGTCAAAATTAAGGCTTTAGATGAGTGAAGAGCATGTGAGAATTCTATATTTAGCTATCTTTCCTCTGTAGCTAGAAGCTCAGTTCCCAGGCTGACTTGGTTAAGGTAGCAGAGCTTTATGTGCGGTTGTGAGGAAACAAATGTTACGTGGACACTTCTTTCCCCTGCTGCATCTGTTTTACAAGAACATCCCTTCTTTGCTGCTCCTCTAGGGATTGCATTAATGTACAACACTGTAATAGCTGATCAGTGGAAACATAAGGTACATCAACCATTAACCACATTTTATTTAGGCTGCTAGAAAGCAGACAACTATTCCCTGTTGTTAGAAACATTGGTTGGTCGATGGTGATGCTTCTCCCATGGATGCTAATGGTGGAGATGATGCGAAGTTGATGTAACTGAGGACATTTTGGGACAGAAATGGTAGCAAAGGAAGAGCAGCATGGCCAAAACCTGTGGGACTTAAATTTCCAAAGTGCCTGAGGCAGCAAACGCTGAAGTTCTGAGAATGGTGTTCATGGCTTATCAGAGGCCTGCATTTGCCGAGCACAAATAATTATTTTTTAATTATTATTATATTTTCACAATATCAGTAACTCCTGTTCCAGAATTCTTTTTTTTTCCTAACTTTAACTTTCTGCAAATGCTTAGCATATGTTGAGTATAAGAAACCGTTCTCTTTTTTCAACATTTTTCTCTGATACCTTGAACTAACAACATAGCATATGATTTTTCAGTCTATTGAAATGGATGACACCAGTTTTTGTTTTTAATGAATAAGAATTGACGAGAATGAAAGTGGTAAGGGGGAATGATTTTATCTCTGTGGAGGATGCATATTAAGTCGATAATGTGTTAATTATTTAAGTTTATTTGAATTTACTTTTTAACTTCAGTCTTGTTCCCCTCGAATTTTTATTTACCACTGGATTTATTATTCACAGCTACACTCCAAAAGCATTTTTTATTAGTCAGAGGGTATTTGTGAGCTACAAACTCTTGGCTGTGCCTCCTGTCCTGTTAAGTATGTCTACAGACTTAAGGGAAAATTTCCATTTAGTGTGGCAAATTCAGGGTACTGGATGCTTGAAAGAGCCAGTAAGGATAGCTGGTTTCTAGATAAGACCTCAAAATTCTTAGTATTATCTAAACTGAGGATTAAAAAGTTACAATTTTCTGAAGGTTTCTGTTACATTTCCTATTCTGCCTACTGTGCATTGTACATTATTACAGACTACCGCTCTGACATGCCCCCCAAAGAAGCAAATTAATGTTTCTTGTGAACTCTGTTCTTTTGTGGAGAAGTAATAATGACTCAAGCAGCTCCAAAAGTTTCTCAGATGAATCAGAATTTATTACTTGTAAAATTAATGCCCATTACACTCATTGATACTGTGCACAAACTGTCATTTATAGAAAAAAACCCTTTTTTACTGATTGCTGTTATTGATAACAGATCTGTGACTTGCACAGAGGATATGGACAAATGTAGCATGTGAGTGACATAATTTGTGAGACTTTTGTTTCACACTGCTCATCATCTTTTGTTCTTTGTATGTACCTTTTCTTTTGTCTCCTAAAGTCAATTTTATTTGTAGTTTCTTACAGGTCTTAGGAGAGAGAAAGCCCATTCCAGCCAGTGAAAAGATGAGCCCTACCTTGTGCTTTGGATCTGGCTTTTGAGTGTTACCATTTTCAGGGAAGTGCTCATCTGTCAATGTGCCTAATCAAAGTAGAAATTGCTGATGGTGTTTTTTTATAGGTTCAATTATCTTGCTCCTTAACACTGGTCTAGTTTGCATTTTCTTAAGAAGCTTACTTCTTCCTCTTGAACTAAATCCTTACATTTTGTAGGTATATAAGCGTGCTTGCTAACTAGTCCCATGGCTGAAAGAAGACATACGCAAGTCAGATATGATGAGCTTAATCTAAGTGCTATAACTAAGAAGATGCCTTCAAATCGGTTCTTTCAGAAGAAAAGGGGTTGATCAACTTCTATCTAGACTTCTAAAAGGACTACTAGACCTTATCAATAGCTTCTGTGACTTTAGGGTATAACTTAACTACGTTGGAGCAACTCTTTGACTTCTGCATCCTGTCTCCAGTGAGACTTGAAAAATCAAAGTCGGAAGAAAGTGTAATAACATACAAAGTGAGGATTTAGACTAGTTTATAGGAACATACTTCACCTCTCTGTGCAATTTTCTGCCTGTGTAATGGGGATAATGTGTTTAACTACAGCAAGAGAAGTCTGCGGATTAATTGGTTAATGAATTCATAGTACCCTGAGCATGAAAAGCGCACTCTAAATGTTTTCCCATAGAAATTTCTCCACTACCTAAAGAGAGAGGAAGAAAAAAGCCAATTCATTGCTTTAAAGAACTGTGAGAATTCCATCAAGAACTCAGATAATTAAAATCATATTAATAGAATTTTAGGTCTTCATTTTCCCCTCGAGGCCAGGTGTCCCTGATTTTTTTCTTCTTTTTTTTTCCCCTTTTTCCCTTCAAGCAATGTCCCTGACTCAGTTGTCAAAGACCGAGAAGCAAAAGTGTCCATCTAGCTTTGAACTTGATACCTGCAGTGGAGTTACAAGGTGAAATAAATGGGGTGGGTTGTTTTTTTTTAAGCTGATCATAACACTTTAAAACGATATTCTTCCCCCCCCCCTTCCGATCCCCTCCCCCTAATGTATTTTTAGGCTGTATGCACTCCTGCCTATGTCTCTTCCTCAGTCCCAGCTGAAGATTTCAAGGGAGACGAGAGCTCTATTTTGTTTCTCCCTTGTATTGCAGATAGGGGGAGGAGGTGGTTATTAGAGAGAAGCGCTCTCGCTCTCTCTGTTTCTCCCTCTCCGGCTGATAGCACTTATCTCTCGCTCTCTCTCCTTCTCCTAGGTGATCCATTTCTAGGCAACGTGCTGGCTGGTGCTGGAGCTGCCAGCTCTCTCTGCATCCCAGCAGCAAAGCAAGCTCCAAAAGCAACCTGCAGACCCATCATCTGCTTTCCTCTGCCTTGCTCCGGGCACTCCTCCTCTCGCTCCTGCCCTGTCCAACCACCACCTTGCGCGACAGAGACAGCACGCCGGGCTTCATTTGCAGATCTCTTGATTTTTTTTTCCCTCCGGTTGTGGGAAGCAATTTT